ATTAATAATATTATATATATAAAAAAAAAAAAAGAAAGAAAAACAAAATAAAAAAAAATCATCGCAATAATATTTACAATCGATGATATGCAATATAAATAATTATATAGGGATAATCGAGTATACTATTATGTTAGAATAATTGCGAAAGTGTTATGTTACAAGGACAATAAATAATACGTCATGGTTTCACGAGTTTACGTATAATATATGAAGTATGAAAAAGCAAATATGAAAAGATAGAAAATGAGATAATGAAAATGAGAATTGTTACACAGCAGGTAATAAGAATTCGTAAAATTTGTAATTAATAAAAAAAGAAATTGCAAAAGAAATTGAGAGTAAGTAAAAGAGACAGAAAAAGAAAGAGAGAGAGAGAGAGAGAGATAAATAAATAGATAAACGGATAGATAGATAGATAGATAGATAGATAGAGAACAGAGCATATCGATGATAATATTAAATTTAGCGATGAAGTATGATTATAATCGAGATGTTCACGTAATGCCGCCTGTGAAATCTTATCTATGAAGCTTTTAACAAGGAAGGCGTAGAATTTGATGTAGTAGTATATGCGTGACTGGCGTGTTAACGTTGTCTAATCTTTTTCCCAGTTAGTGATATATTATTTTTACATTTTCTCTTTTTCTTATTCTTCTAATAGTTTTTTTTTTTTTTATTTTTTTTTTTTTCGTAGTGCAGTAGGTTAGTTTGTTGGTGTGTAAAAACAAGCAAGAAAGAAAGAAAGAAAGAAAAAAAGTATAACCGTGGCGGTAATTTGAAATCAATCGACGAAAGAAAAAAGAAACAAATCGAACGAACGGGACAAACAAAAAAAAAGAAAACAAATAAAATGACAGTTATGAGCGAATTGAAAGAAACTTATAATAATTTATTACAAAGTAGTCACGTTAAGTTACGTCACGTTAATAAATTTCTATATAACAATGTAAATGAGAATGACTCTATTAATGTTGCCGAAGAAAATACATTGCAAGGATATAATAATAATGATTCATCTGACAACAACGTATATGCAACAACAAAAGAAAGTGAAGAAGAAAAAGAAAATGAAGAAGACAGATTTATAGTTAAATATAAAGGACGTATTTTTGATATTCGTGAATTTTTAAATCATCATCCAGGTGGTAGGAAGACGCTTAGTTATTACAAAGACAAACATTTGGATCGAGTATTAAAAGATTATCCACATTCTAAGGCAGCCCTTTATTTGTTCGACGAATACGCATTGGATAATAAAATTAAATATAGCGAGCTTGAAGTAAGTTATTTTTAAAAAAATAAAATCAATAAATCATGAAATGAAAATGAATTTAATAATTAATGAAATTAATTAGAAAAATTATTTTACACGAATATCTTTTATTCCTTTTTTTTTATTATTATTTTTCTTTTTATCGAGTACTACTTATGTTACATTGAATATAGGTCCGAAGATTGATATCTTCGTTTCGTAATAATAATCGTATTTCTGATAAACGAAATTCGAAAAAAAAAAAAAAGAAAAATAAGAATAAAGTATAAGATAAATGAATATAGAACGATTAAATAATTATAATCTGATTAATTATTCTCTCTGTACGGATTTTTATCATCTCATTTTCATTTATTGTTTTAATTGATTGCTATATTGATCCCTTGATCCAAAGATTACAAATTGTTTTTCAAATTTTTGTTCTGGTTTTTCTTTTTTTTTTATATTGGATATATTAAATAAACACGAAGGACAACATGAGAAAACAGCATTAATAACTATACTTAACGTTAAAATGAGTTATTATGCAATTCGGTGTGCATTTAATTCTTTCTTTTGTGTTTTATTATATTCTTCTTTTGCATTTATTTCTTTTTTTTGTGTTTTATTCACGCGATAAATTTTTTTACGAGATATGATTTAATCCACAACGTTAGATAAATAAAATAAAGCCTATAAAAAAAAAACAAAAGAATAGCGAATTAAAAATTATAATATCGTTCGAAAATAAGCTTACGTAATTAAAATATTTCAATGAAATAAAAAAAAAAGAAGAAAAATACGAAGAAATAAAAAGGAAATACGTTCATTGATAAATATGAAAATTGATAATCAATGATCAATAAGATTTTAAGATAATCCGAATTATCAATTCTGAGGAAAAACACGTCATCTAGAGATAAACAGATAAATTAGATAATATTAATTGTAATAGGAAAAGTTAGAAAATTATTAGAAATAAAAAAAGAAAATGTTTAAACTAAGATTCGTCCTAGAGTCTGATCGATTGGAATGCACCACTTCTAAATCAAGTTGGCAGTTTGAGTGACAAATATTGGGAATGGGTTAATCTACCTGTGAATCGACCCATACGACTTTTTCAATCCAATGTATTAGAATTTTTAACAATAACACCATGGTACCTGATACCTATCGTTTGGATCCCCATATGTGTATTATTTCTCTACACGGGAATTAATTTAATCTTAGATCATCAATTTCCAAGTAAGTAATCGCAATTATCATCTATATATCTTATTAAAATAGTTTAATAATTTGTTAATAATTTATATTCGAGAGAGAATAAACAAAAATATTAAATAAATGTCTGTGCGCAACATTAGCTTATTTGTTTTATAATACTTGCTTTCTTTTTTCTAAAGTTATTTAATAATTACTATCTTAAAAAAAAACAAAATGAAAACTATATATAAATAAAAATAATAATAAAATAAATTTTGTGATTTTGTTTTTTTCTTTTCTTCAGTTGTTTCATTACTAAAAGGCCTGGTAGCATTTGGAGCAGGTGTATTGTTATGGACATTTGAGGAATATTTGTTACACCGTAAATTATTTCATTACAGGCCACCAGAAAATTCCAAAATATTAATCACATTGCACTTTCTTCTACATGGTTTGCATCACAAGGTAAATTCGAATAATACACAATACTGATAATAAGTAAATTTATCTATTTAATCGTTTGATAAAAACGACAGATTCATGAGACACGTTTCTTGAGAGAACATTTAGTATGCAAACACGTATCCAATGAATTCATTGAACTACGTCTATAGAGATGAATCATGCAAAGCGTTTAGTTTGTTTGCCTTTCTCAGAACAGGAAGCTTCTAACTTAATTTGGTCTTCTATATATAAGATACATATTTCGTATATTAAATATAAATTTAAAATACATTTCTTTTGTTTTTTATTAATTCTAGGCACCATTTGATAGTCAGAGATTAGTATTTCCACCCATAGCTGGTATCATAATGGCTATTGGTATATGGAATTTGTACATAATGATATTTCCTGATTTTATAGCTAATTTTATTGCCGCTGGTACTACTGCAGGTAAATTAACATTATTATTATTACTTATTACTAATTATTTAACAGACAAATATATGCATATAATTAAACAATTTATGCTCTACGCGATATAAATTAATAAAACATATAAAGTAAATAAATATAGACCTAAACAAAAAAAAATATGAAAAGGAAAGAAAAATCTTTTTTATACTTTTCCCACAGGATACTTGTGTTACGATTTAACGCATTATTATTTGCATTATGGTGCACCCAACAACAAAACATATTTATATAATTTAAAAAGATATCACAATTATCATCATTTCTCTCATCACGATAAAGGTAATTTTGTTTAGTTATTATCTTAACGATTTTTCTTTTATTATTATTATTAATATTGTTGTATTTTATTATATGATCTTTTTATTCTTATATAGGTTTCGGTATCAGCAGTAGAATTTGGGATAACGCGTTTAATACATCGATACGTTTACAACAGTTGGTTAAACCGATCGAATGGTAATTTGTATCTTATGGGTAATAAATGCAATACAAAAGTTTATATTTAAAGTGTGCAGCTCGACGCCTTCGGCTTTAATTAATTAACTAATGTTTAGTTTGATATATAAAGTATTTACTTAAGTACTTCAAGCCATATGACTTAAATACATTAAAAAAAAAAAAAAAAAGAAAACGATTAATACGATTCACTAACATAAGTAAAATACCATGTCATTGTATCAGTATTATACACGATGAATTTAATAATTAACACGATTTAGGAAGACCTTATGAAAAATGCATAATGTATAAAGATAAAATATAATAAGCATTTGCTTATTATCCTTGTACTGTTATTAGAGTCTTGTGATAAATAAACTTAAGTACTTCATTCAATATATATTTAAATTTATAAATCAAGATTCTTTTTAATCAGATCTGCGAAAAAATGTTTTAAAATAAACTTAACTATACCTATAATCATCCTTGCATTATATTATTTAACAAGATGATATTTATTACCACAGCCAGATAAATTACTTTCATATATTCATTAGAATTAGATTAAACGATATCTTTGTTTTTTTTTCTTTATATCTTATGGAGTCTCGGTTTTAATTATTTTCCTACCCATACTCAATTGCGGAAATGTACTTTTGTTTGGAGGTGGATTTAACTTAGACGATAAGAAAATGAAAGGTTCGAACAAAGTTTGTCTATCCATTACGTTGACTTCATAATGTTTGATCTTTTCCCTGGTACACCAATTACTACCCTTATTAGATGTATTCTCTAAACTGTTTGATTTATTTTCATTATTAGTTTTATTACCTAAAACTACTACTGTTATTTCTTTCTTATCCTTGTTCTTATCGATGTCCTTTTTCAATGGCAACAGAACATCCAACGATTCAGGTTTGGTTGTATCGTAAACTAAAATATATCCATCAGCAAATCCAAGATAGTGTCGAGGAAGTTGTTGGTTGTTCGCATTGCTCTGCAATGATTCCAAGCCTGCGGTGTCATAGAATCTTACTCTCTCCTTTGTACCACGATCAGTTTCTATATTAGCAACATAAATGTCTTCTATCGTTGGATGTATTTCCTATCGAATAATAAACGAATAATATTCTTTAACAATTGATTGAAATGATTCTTTAGATGTGAAACATATTTTAATAAATTATTATTTATATAATTAAAATGATATCTCACCGTCTTAGGTGTGACATTTCCATGAATGAGCTGTTCCAACAATGCAGTTTTTCCTACACCTTTCATTCCACAAACAACTACTCTTGTTGGTTTCCCCATATTTAGAATCTGGCTGGTTGTTCTTACCACGATTTCATTACTTTTACCTTCTACGTCACATCTTGGAATTTACACATGCAGTGATGATGCATCCCGTTCGTAAACTTCACGTTGCCACATTTGCATAATTCCTACTTTTATCTATTTTGTCAAACTCTTATAAACCTTATTTTTGTTCTTGTAATTAATGCCTAACATTACTTAATATTTCCAATGAATACAAAACTACATAGAAGCTAACAAGACAACTTTTTTCCTAACTAGATTTATATTACCTACTTTGACCACCTGTGGGCAATATTAAGTACTTAACGCGATGACGGTACAACATTATCAATGAACGGTACAATCCTATCAAAGAATACAGTTATGACGGTACAATATTATCAAAGAATACAGTATTCTAATTAAAATTATAAATAGAAAAATCTAATTGAAATTCATTTATCAACAATTTTAACTTTAAATTAATTAAAATATTACAAAAAAAAAGAAGAATTATGTCGTTAAAAATTATTTAAAATTGATATTAAGAATCTTGCCAATATCGATGAACCTAAAACAAAAATTAATTTTATATTACTATGTATAACTTATACGTAATTTTTATTAATTTATTTTTACATCCTAAATGATTTTGCATTACAAACCTTGGGATACTATTGCAGACATTGTTGTAAATATCCATTGATAAAATGTTATTTTGTTATATGTAATCTTACAGCTTAAAAATACAGTGCTTTCTATAACAAAAAACTAGATAAAAAGGGCATGTGAGGGAAAATGAAATTCGATGTATGATCCACGATCAAAACTTTTCAATTGAATTATTTAGTAAATAATGAAATTTAAAAAAAAAAAAACAATTTAAATGACCAAAAAGTGGACATTACAAAATACCGAATTCTCGATGCATTAGAAAATGTATTTTTTTATATTTAAACACAAGTGAATATGAAAAAATGCATGTCTCCGATGCATGCTTTTTTTAATATACAAATATATGAATAGAAAAATGTTTCTATTTCATACAAAAATTATTAGACAATTAATACAATTACAAATACACATAAGAAATTATTCAAGACACATTATAAAAAAAACTTAATCAATTGTGAATATATCATAATATTTAAAAAATTATTTAACGTCGCGTTCAAAGGAAACAAAATGAAAAATATTACACCTTGCCTCATATTACAAAATGCATACGCAATTATGCATATCGCTATAACAATAACCATAACGAGATCAAATCTATGTTTGATCGATAGAGTACATAAATCTTTTATTTAATTACATTTATATTAACGCGAAGTATGCAGTTACATCGACGAGTGTCTGATTTACATATTACACCACTTAAATATATACAAGACACTTATTTATTTTTAGTAAACTATAAAAGAACAAAAAATAGTAATACAATTTCACAATTATCGAAGCACGTATTTTAAATAAATATGAATTCAAGTGCATACAATGCAATATGGAATCTTAAAGGAAGAAGAAAAAATTGAAATTCAATATACAAAAATATTAATTGAACAGTGAATTCAAATTGATAATTAATTAATTGCTAGTGCTTGCTTTAACAGATTCTAAGCTAATCAAGTCTTATAGATTGTTAACCGGAATAATATGAGTAATTTTGATTATTAATTGGAAGGATGATTGATTCTAATTGGACTAATCAGATTAGTCCATATATTTAGAATAAAAAAAATATATA